CTGGTGCATGGAGGTGGCTTCAGCTGTGGCTCTCTGGCGCTCGCCTGATCTCTGAAGGGCATCTTCCCTTGAGGAGGCGGGGGGATAGTGTTTGCGTGTCAGGGGCAGAGTGTGCCCTTGACAGGTAGTTGATCAGAAAGGGCTGTTGGCCTAATGGATAAGGCGTCGGCCTCCGGAGCCGGAGATTCCAGATTTAAGTCTAGGGAAGACCTATGGAAAAGAAAAGAGTGGACCCGTGAAGAATCAGGCCACCGACCTTGCTCGACTCCTGTTGCGCATTCGCTGGACCGATTCCAAGGCAAGCTCCCTTGTCGGCTTTGAACGAAAGATGTGAAGGATTCGAGGCTGCATATGAAAGCCCCTCTCGGACAGAGGGCGTGTGAAATTGCCCTTGGAGTGCATGTCAGGTGTCCTCACGTGGCCATATTGGCTGAAGGCCTTGAGCCGTTGTTCGGCTTGATCGGAAAAGGCGCGTGCCGCTATGTTGTGAGGTCTAGTGACCTAGGACCGGTTGCAGTTGATTGTGATCTACATTGACATTGAGTTGTTGGGTATTTGCTCCTACCAGTTCCGCAATATATATATATGTATATATATATATATATACATGTTTCATAACATGTATATATATATATATATATACACAGTAGTTCCCGTCTTTGGAACTGTTGTGACGCTTCTGCCCACCGGGCCGGCCTCCTAGAGGGGTCGACTCCAGCCCCCCGTCTGATGGACCTGCCTCTAGTGGTTGCTGGCTCGGCTCTGGGGTCCTGACGCACGAAGAAACTGCGAGAGGTCGCCACCGGCACAGTACCTGCAGGGTTTCACTGAGAGGTCGCCATGAAACCGATCCCTTGCAGGATTCCTTGGAGGAACCGAACCTCGCATGCAGGTTGGAGAACCTAAGTAGAAGGCGACATACACCAATTTGCAGAAAGTAGATCGTAGATGGCCGCAGCCTGTGCAGTGCAACCCCATTGAATCAATTACATTGAAACTTCAGGCAAGTGCCCTACTGCAAAACCCCTGAAGGCAGTGCTATCTACTCAATCTACTCTGCTCCACGGGTGATCCATCTTGTAAAATCAGGGCACTCCAAAACCAAGTAAAAGTGCGCTGTGCTCTTCTTGAGGTCGCGAAAGCGCACCTGAGGCAGACTGGCTATGGGTTCTTACATACATATATATATATATATATACAACACCAACCGCCGGCAAACCAAGGACTAGTTACTGGTTGCTTGTGGTCTCATTACTTTCTTTGTGCCTCATCTAGCTATATCCAGCTCCTATAGATATGCCATTGATAGGGATGTTGTCGGCAGTTCGTTTGCACAGTTACATCGCTACTCTCACCTTCTGTTTCACGTCGAAATCACGGTCACACAGAATTCGCGTAAGAAGCAAACTGAAGGCCAACCCTGCATCCGTTCTCGCAACAGAACCGCATCTGCTTGCTGCACAAGAGGCAATATTTGGATGAGAGATTTTGCGTAAGACCTTAACCATCAGTTTGGTCAATTCGTCAAAAAGGTTACCAGCAGGTAGAAAGTAATTGTCAAAAAGCAATGGACCTGTGGATACATGAGTCTCCGTCCGATTCTTCTTTCTTTCTCACTCACTCACTCACTCTCTCTCTCTTTTCCAAATCTCTTTTCTGCTCGGCCTCTACTTCTTGCCTCAACTGTGCGGTTTCGGTCACCGTCTGGCGGCTGATCACCTCAGCTGCGCGACTGAAGCGAGAAGTCAGGCGGGAGACCCGGCTGCTGCAGGCCATCTACGCCAGCTACGCGGCGGCTGAGTGCGGGGCTTTAATTGCATAAAGTTCATGTTCTAAGTTGGCACACGGCAACACACAGGTGAGCGAAACAAATCAATCTGGCCCATGACAATAAGGATTTCATCGGGACATGTTTAATCGGGATTTAACTGCGGCCAAGTGTCTGTCGTCCTGTCCTTTCCACACTGTTGCGTAGGAGCCTTTGCCAATTCGCCTGCACGGCGGTTCGACGTTTGAAAGAACATGCACAATGCCCGGTCAGGTGAAGTGAGGAGCAAAACCATCTGTCATGGTTCCATGTCTGAGTCGGAAACAATTGCTTGACTGATAAACATGTAATATTTATATAATTGTATATATTAATTGGTTCCATGGTTTACTGCTGGTTCCGTCGACTGCCCTTCTAAAAATGACCTAGAGATTGCGCTACACGTTGTGCTTGGCGACTCACTATTATGTTGGAGGCCATCGCTAGCCCCTAGCAGGTTGGAGGCCATGTCTCTGGTTTAAAGATGATGATGACGATGATGGGGACGTACGCTGTACCGGGCGGGCTTTTCCAAGATGTATCCTGCCACCTGCTTCTTGGCCATGGCGCTTCACCTGGGACAAAAAAAGAGGCGCTTGATGGCGCATATCCTGCACTTGGGAACCTGCCAGAACCTGACAGAACATCTTCCAAGGCTTGAGCTCGGCGCATGGGGAAGCTCCCTCAGTTTGGATAGTTTGGGGGTTTTCTCTTCAACTTGGGAGTCCGCGAACGCATCCGGCTGCAAATGGCTGCAGCTAAATTTTGCTGCTCTATTGTGGTATGCAATCGTGATATGATTGTGCATAGGTATGAGCCGCTGGTTTGAAGATGTTGCAAGTCGTCGGCCATCGCTATTAGATTGAAGGCAATTGCTAGTAGGTTGGAGGCCATTGCTAGCAGGTTGGAGGCCATTGCTATTAGGTTGAAGGCCATCCCTAGTAGGTTGGGGGCCATTGCTAGTAGGTTGAAGGCCATCGCTAGCAGGTTGGAGGCCATTGCTATTAGGTTGAAGGCCATCGCTAGTAGGTTAGTTAGAGGCCATTGCTTGTAGGTTCGAGGCCATTGCTATTGGGTTGAGGGCCATCGCTAGCAGGTTGGAGGCCATTGCTAGCAGGTTGGAGGCCATTGCTAGCAGGTTGGGGGCCATTGCTATTAGGTTGAAGGCCATCGCTAGTAGGTTAGAGGCCATTGCTTGTAGGTTGGAGGCCATTGCTATTGGGTTGAAGGCCATCGCTAGCAGGTTGGAGGCCATTGCTAGGAGGTTGGGGGCCATTGCTATTAGGTTGAAGGCCATCGCTAGTAGGTTAGAGGCCATTGCTATTAGGTTGAAGGCCATTGCTATTGGGTTGAAGGCCATCGCTAGCAGGTTGGAGGCCATTGCTATTAGGTTGGAGGCCATTGCTATTAGGTTGAGGGCCATCGCTAGCAGGTTGGAGGCCATTGCTATTAGGTTGGAGGCCATTGCTATTAGGTTGAAGGCCATCGCTAGCAGGTTGGAGGCCATTGCTATTAGGTTGAAGGCCATTGCTATTAGGTTGAAGGCCATCGCTAGCAGGTTGGAGGCCATTGCTATTAGGTTGAAGGCCATATCAACACACCACCTCTCACCACCGCTGTCCACCCCTGGGCGTCCTGACCGGGAGCAAGTCAGCTGGAACGTGGGACTGTCTAGGACGTATGGGTGAGACAAGCGATGCACTTGTTACTAGAAGCGATGCACTTGTTACTAGTAGCTTATTGTTTCTACTAGCTTCTTGTTACTACTAGTAAGGCACCTGTTACTACTAGCGTGGCACTTGTTGGCAAGGTGGGAGAATCAGAATGAAAAACCCTAGTTTCATGCGCTGTATACAGGCCATGCATGGACAGGCCTCTAGATCAAGGTCTATTTCGTAGGCCACACTTCAAGAATGATTCTGTACAGGAACGCCTGCTCTTCGCAGCTGTGGGCCTTCTATAAATTGTATGGGCTGATATGTCGGTGGGATTTGTGGTCGTCTGTGGCCGTGTGGCCTTGTGCCAATTGAGTTCAACTGATCACTTTACATAATAGTGGCTGCCCTACCTTGGGCACGAGAGTCAATGTTCATCAATTTTCACATGCTTTTTGGCATTTGCAGTGAGTTTCAGTTCTGCTGAACGTGTCATTCCATGCATGCTATTGTTATTGTGGTGCCAAGCCGGCCTCTTTTGACCCCAGGGCAAGAAGCTGCTGTTCACCATTGGAACTGCGGCGGTTCAACCGAGGATTCCATACATACAAGTCACCATCCCCATCGACCAAAATGCCATGCACGATGGAAAATGGCTCCTCGAAAGCTTGCTTTCCAATGCAAGAGGTGCAGAATGTCCACTTCCCTCAGAGCGACAGGAGAGGAGGTGCATAGGCCTCCCACAGCGCTTTCTCAACGGAAACAACAGCCTGCTAGGCTGAACTCGCCGGCACATTTGACCCTGCACAAAGTGGTGGTCCGAACTTGCTTGCTTGATCTCGGTGGGGTCCATGAGCCTACGAAAAACCTGGAGCAAAACCAGGCATCAAAGCACACGATGCCAGCGTCAGCTTGATCCTATTTTGTTTCTTCCAAACCCCTGCGGACCTAAAACTTTCTAAAGCATTCTAAAGCTCTGTTCCTGCAGGTGGTGACCACCACGGTACCCACAAGGAAGCATCACAGTTCGGAATTCGGACCACCGACAGTGCCACCCTCTTCGCAGTGGCCGTCACGTCACCGCGAACTGTACGTAGCACTGGCCAAGGCCAGCGGGGCTGGAAACCCCACGTCCAAAGATTATCACCCAGTCCACCCATGCACTCTTAGAATTGTTTGAGCATCCTGACATATCCTGACATTTGTCTAAAACCAAGCCACATGAACAGTTGAGTACAGGATGCTAACTCTAGCTTCGCACGATGTTTGGGTGTATGGGGACCGCTTCCACTTTCGAATTACGCTCTGCAGGTATTGAGGTTCTACCCCAGCTACCGGACAACAGGAAGGCAACGACCCTTTCCCTTAGACCAACGGCTGATTCAGCAAGCCATCTCGCAACATCTCACTTTTGCAACATCTCGGGCTTTGGGAGAAGTCACTCTATCCTCGCCCAAGGATGAAACACATAAATTCTATTAAATTCTCATACCTTACATACAGCATCCATACACCTAAGTCATCCTGAATCAACTCGGTTAGAGCATTGCCAGAGTCTCTAAGTCCAGCTGCGAGGACGGGCCTCGCTCAGGCGAGGGTGAGCCAGTCGATTGAGACATCGATGATTCACTTCTCGAGCTTTCAGATGAACTGCTAGGCACACACGTTGATTCTTCATCTGGCGTCAAGTGGCCAACGCTTCGAACCTGCAAGTTGAGAAGTGCCCCGAAGACTGACCATCTATGCCCCCACACGTTGGAACACTTGCTTGAAATTCTTGAGTGAATTTAGGCACCAGACTGTCTTCCAACTGCTAATGTACTGGCCAAGGTGTAGTGCTTCGTCTATCTGGTCCAAGTCAAGGAGGTTCAGCAAAACCAGGAAGGCAGTCCACTGCACCTAGGTCTTCGACCGCATGGTGCGCGGCGGAATTTGCGCCAAGAAACACACACACACACAGCGTTACAGATGTGGGATCTGCATGAGAAAAACCGTCGATTTACATCAGGTGGAAGTCAAAGACCTCTTGCTGCAGCCTGACAAAGGCATGCCTCACCAAGTGGCTGCGCGGTAGAGACCCTCACGGCCTGTGGTGACATGGAAGGAAAATGAGATAAACGCCAAGGTCAGCTGAAAGATCACCTGCACCTCAAAGTGCCGATCGGTGCGGGGCCTTAGGGCCTTCCGCAGCCACGGCTGATCGGTTCGCCCGGTGTTTTTTCCGAAAAGGATCGATTCTGCTTGCGTCACAGCCAGGATCTGCAATGATAAGAATAGACAACTGAATGGTCTTTTGAAGGTTCAAGGGCAATCAAATCAGCCATTGCACATGAGAACTCCCAGATTGAATAGCTCCCCAAAAATAGTCTCAAGAAACGGAGTCGGTTTTGGGGGAGCGGCCAGCGTTCACAGCTTTCCGTCCAACTTCAGATTGGACAGTCACTCGGTCAGAGTCAGTCAGTAGTCAGACCTGCCACATCCGCGCAATGCGCCCAGGAAGCTCCGGGCGGTTGTGCAGGAGCCGCATTACGGTCACTGACAGAAGCATCAAGCCAAAACCTCGGCCATGCGTGCCTAGCTGCTAGAATACTGCAAAAAAATTATCAGGTGTCTCAAGCTGCCGATTCTCATGTTGCAAGTGTTTTTCCTGGTGTCTCAAAACAAGAGCCAAACAAAATGGAGTTCAAGGCAGAATGGACCGACGCAAATCGAAAGTAGTGGCCTCTGATGCAGTCTGAACGGACTCGGTCCAGCCAGGCTGCCCCAGTTGAGATGATGGCCCGCATCACGGTCGAATTTCTGGGCTTCTCCCCGGTCATAGTCCTCACGCGAACGGGTGGACGGTCCTTGCGGTCCGGACGCGGTCCGGTCACGGTCCGAACGAGTCCCGCGGCACGCGGGAGAAGACGTGGAGATGGGAAGGAGGATAGGGAGGAGTGAGTCGCAGCGTGCGATGAGTTTGCACGTCCGAACGAGGATCCACTCCTGAAACTCGAGGTCGAGTATGAGAAAGCATCCCGCAGCCATCATCATCACCTTAGATGTCTGGCTCAACCGCAGTCACTAAATGCCTCCTCTTGCCTTCCACAGGCCACCCCAGAATACTGCCGAGGCTCCCCGGCCATAGCCACAGGAACAAGGCTTAGAAAGACGGTTGGACGCCAGCTACTTTTCAAGCATCGTACAGCATGCCACTTGGTATCCTCTGCCAGCTTCGGTTCGCTTCTTTCGAAAGACCACAGAATCAACTGAATCAACCTTTAGGATTTCAAGTATAAATTAGATAGAAATTGGTGTTTGGATGGCTCTTGCAAAATCCCAATTCTCTCTTGGCGGTCCAAGCTTCGGCAAATCGAGCATCAAACATCAAAAGCTTTGTCAGCAATACCAACCTCAGTTTGCTGGTGAACTTCTCAAACTGTACTGATCACCCTCGGGTGACTGCTGTTTTTCATGTGCTTCACATAATGCTTCATCACTTCGTCTCCAATGCCCCTCAACATAATCCTCAACATTGGCTGGCTTCCAATGCCACACTGTTAGCTCGCTCGCTCCCGCGCGTCCACCACGAATCCTCGAGGTCCGAGCCTCTATGCCCAAAAACAACTTCACTGCCATTTCCTGTCTCCTTCACCCTCCCCATCGCATCCTCTTTGGGGTCGTCTGCACGTCGTATTTGCGTGCCGTTTCCGCATTTCTTGCGACCTCAATCCCCAACAAAAAAGCACCCAATTGAATGAAAAATAATCCCGCAAAAAAAGAACTCGGCACCAACCAAGCGACACCAGTGACAAAAGTAGCAGGTCCCAGTTGCCGATCCCAATTTCGCCTCGAGCTCACGCGGGCGGAAAATCACTCTCGGCGGGCGGACCGGATGGATGCGTTGCCGATGCCTGGCTTCACTCCTTTCACCACGCACTTCACCACCAAAGCCTTGGCACACTGGGCTAAGACGCGCAAGCAAAGTGGAGGCCATCGCTACTAGGGTGGAGGCCATGGCTACTAGGGTGGAGGCATGTGGAGGCCATTCCCCTCTAAAACACCACCAGACCCCAGGACTGGCTGTTAGTAGGCTTAGAGCTTTCTCCGATCTGCCCAGCTGCCAGAGTGGTGATCATCACCGACTGCGCTCGATCTCAGCGGGCGGAACAAGCTGGCACATGCGCATGCACTGCCAGTCGCACAAATGTCTCCACCAAGGGGTGACCATTGATTGCCATTTGGTTTTCTAGATATTTTCCAATGGACTGATGTAATCTTGAGCATTTCTCTGCTTCGTGATCTGGTCGATGTGTTGGATAAAAGGAATCCCACAGGTCCTGGCAGGGCAATGTCTCGAAGTCTCAGCACGAATTCCCCAGGTGGTTTCAAACGTCTACAGGCTAGATCAGGCTAGGCAGCTTGTTCGTTTTGGGGTCCTGAGCAAGAAGAGCGGCGCACAGGCAAACCAGCACAGCACCTGGCGCCCGAAAGAAGCATTTGGGCACTCAGACTGGGCACTCTTGCCCACGGGATGCGCCAGGCGGTAACAAGGTATATAACAAGGGTGGATGAACAAAACCCATGGCCATCTGCTTCGCCCATGGCTCAGCGAATTGGATCTAAGAGGTGGATCCCAGTGTCCGCGTGGGGTGTCCCAGGCTGGAAGCCGTTCCAGGAAGGGGGTCTTCGACCAAAATTCGAAACAACCAAGTAACTCACCCGCAAATACCGGTGAAGAATGCGAACAAAAGCACAACCACTAGCAGAACCATCATGATTCTTGCTGAATTGGGGTGATCATTGGGGGGACGGTGCCCAAGTGCCAATGCAATGTTCCTCACTTGGACCGTGGACCCCCCACCAGAGCCGCCCAAACCAACACGCAATGGCGTTTGCTTGAGTCGGAGCCAGTCGAAGATCGTTACGGCACCTTGCAAGAAGTTTCAGAGCTGCGCGCAGCCACCAGATAGAAGATCACACTGACCACATTGAGAAGCATGTGATAGACGGCAAACTTGCCTTCCAGTCGTGGCCAGACAGTGACGAGAGCCGTGTAGATGCATGTGGCGGAGTCCCACCATCAACCATCAACCATGAACATGAATCACTGACTAAATCAATGCAACTGAATCATTCCACTGAATCAATGGAATCATTCACCTGACTAAATCAATTCATCGTTCGAAGTCTCGTTCTGTCTCCGGATGACGAGACAGAACCCCCAAAGAAGCCCTGCGCCCTGCGCTCGATCAGGCTCGATCCTCCGGGCCCCTCCGCCCCCTCCCGACGCGCCGCGGGGCCAAGCTACGACATCTTCGGAGACCAAGTGCCACCCTGAGGTGCATCAAGCCAAGCCTGAGGTCGATGGGGTCGGTCCTCTTGGCTCCGGTCCACCAAGGAACCCGAACTGGAGGGACAGTGGACTGGAACTGTAGAAACACTCCACTGTCTGGGGGGACCTTAGGGGACCTTATCGCCGTGGGTCCCGTGACTGGCATGAGATCTGCTGTCCCAAGAGGCAGCAAGTAGCATCCTGCCAAGAAGGACAGGTGCAGCGAACGGGCGGCTGCATTGCCAGACGCCAGTATATTGCCTCCGAGTCTTGCATTGACAGATGACAAAGCCCAGACAGAGACAGATCAAACAATTGGTGCACTGCAAAGGCCATTTAAGCTTCGACGACCCTCGGCGTTGCAAACTCATCTGCTGCGAGGCCTGTCCAATTCACATCCATAACAAAGATGCAAATCGCAAGCCTAAGATCTCACAAATACACACCAAACGCAGGTCCTCATGCTATTGGCTTATCCATGCATTATCCTCACCACATTCCATCCCTCTCCATAGCAACATGGAGCAAGCTCCATGTTTCGCATCCCCTTCACCAAAATTCGAGTCACAGCATGTAGAAGAGCCCGTGGTCCAATCCATCCGTGTTGAAGCGCGTGGACTCGGTGTGATCCGACTCGGTCGACTCTCGACGGTCGACGCGGTCGACCGGACGCGGCCGTCGCGGCTGGGCCGAGCGGCGTAGTCTGCCGAGGCAGAATAAAGACTCCTGAGTCGCTGTGAAGAGCGGCAGGCCAATTTAGAAAGGCGATTGGCGACGAAGGCGATTTGGAAGAGAAAACGGCTGAAAAGCGCCAGATGGCATCGCACATCTGGCATGCTCCCATCTTCATCTGAGATGCCAATAAGTGAAAAGCGCCAGAAGCAATTGTAATAAAGGTTCTCCGTGCGCAAAGCGTATCACGGTCGTTGCCTTGACAAACAAAGAAGAATGGACTTGTGACTCATGTGAAAATTAGAAAAAGCGTAAAAGAGCCATGGTTTGACCAATATGAGGCCATCTAAAGACTAGGTAACGAGGCGCATTGGAGGAGCCAAATAAGATCCAGCAAAATGCCTCCTGCTTTGTCACCTAAGTGCAGTGAAGCACAGTCTACAACACGTCTTTCTGTTTCGAATTGTCTATCAACGAGGCACTCAAAAGCCATGAGTGTTGCCATGAGTGTACGTACTTCACAGCATCTGGTCATGAGCCACGTGTCCAAAACGTGGCTAATCCACACGTTGCTATCACCCAAGTGGCTCCACGTGAATCATCCTGCTCTCTTAAGCGTGGGGCTTCCCATTGAAGTCCTCTCCTTGGTTAAGCAGGACAGAGTGGGGCTTCCATTTTGCCGGAGCATCTGGAGATTGAGGCAATCTAGTCACCCTTTCTCAAAGCGTATCTGCTTATCTTGTCATCCGATTGCGACAAAAATAGAAAAACATTGTGAGCATGGGCTGGCATTCCACAACACGTTGATACCAGTAGAGTCATCATCACCCCAGCTTCTTCCATCCAAGCGGCAAAGAACTCCTAAAATTACTGGCTTCGAGGGTGTAGGTCGGCAGACTGCTACCTCTCAGAATTGTACTCGAGAGAAGAACATCCGGCAGTTGGCAAGCTACAAGCTTCAATTTCGTTCTAATTCCAATCTAGTCCTTGCTCTGGCCACATGCAGGTTCTGATGCTAAGAAACTGGACAACTTGAAGAAATGAAGGCGCCCCGTGCCTGCCACCTTTGACTCGAAATAGCTCATCTCCAGAAAGCCATTGGGCAAAATCGTGTTTTTACATCTGAGGTCAATGAAACCGGGGCAAGTTCACCTCAAATGATTTGCCTGAATTTGGGGGATCCGTTTCATGAGGCCAACATAGGCCATCCCAGGTTATCCCGGATGCTTGGATTGGTTCAAGTGATTCATCATATTCATTCGACTCCGGGAATAAACAACGCCAACTTAGGCAACACGCGTGTCTTTCACAAAAAAGGCAATTAGAAGAAAGCTCTTGAACACTTGCACGCCCCGACATGTCGTGGCATATTACGCAGCTGAGCCAATGGCAGCAATTCGATGGGCAGGATAAGGTCTGGGGAATGAGGTCAAAAGCCCATCTCCTCTCCCTGCCTCTAGCCATCTATGACAGGGGTTGGAAGTCCCAAGATCTTTGCCTTTAAAAGTACGGAGAAGGCGCGCACGGAGAAAGACAAAAACACATGAACCAAGGAAGAACCTGATTAAGCTGCGTAAAAAGGGACCATTTTTAAGGGAGCCTTATCAGCCTTATGCCTTACTTAATGTATCTCCTGACATTTCATTGAAAAAACACGCCCGATGTCCACGAGTTCGCCCGAACCCACAGGTCGTCACACTGGTCTGGTCGTCACACTGACTGGTCGTCACACTGGTCGTCACGCTGGTCGTCACACTGGTCGTCACGCTGGTCGTCACCGGCTCTGTCACACGTCTGGGGGGATTTCTTGCAAATATCATCCTGACTCACTAACATGGAAGCGGATGGCATGGTCCCTTGGAAGACTACTTTCCTTTACATACCGGAGGTTTTCCACTTCGATGTGTTCGTCGGAGTGCATCATCCTGATCGAACTCCTCACCGCATTGGTCACCCGCGCATACCCTCGTGACCGGTCAGGCCAACGAAGCGACGAAGCTTTCTTGCCCTGAGCCTGTCACATTTGTGCTGCTTTGGGGCTGGAATCTAAACAGCACTCAGCTGTGGTAGTAGATGTTCTCCTCCTTGGTTTGGCATGGAATTCGATGAATATCCGGCACAAGTTATGATGATAACAATACGACATTATCGATAATACTATATGCAATTCTATACATACTTCTTCATTTTATTATATACTGATATATTATTTGTTGTATAACTCTATGTATTACATTACATGTATTAATCTTTGTTAAGGCCTCTCATGAGCCTTCAGGTTGAGCTTTTCTGCATTCAAGATATTCAAGTCAAACCGTTTGATCACGTCTTGCTTCAGCCGAAGCCACGCCGGAGAGCGTCATTAACGGTCGCGGCTTTCCAGCCCAGGTGTACCAGCCACCATCGTAGTCCAGCTCGAAGTCGACCTGGTCACGGCGGTCGACCGCCGCGAAGGCGTCACTTAATGACTAAGCACACTTCGTCTTATGACCTAACTTAATGACTAAGCAATTTGATTCATAGACTGTCAAACGGCTCAAACTGACCGTCAGTCAGTCATAGGCATAGATAGGCATAGGTATATACATTTTTGGCAAGTCGAGCTTTGCCTGAGGAACCTGTCTCCGAAACTGACAGAAAATGCTGAAGCCAGTCCTCGGGAGCAAGGGCAATATGATGCAATACTATGCAATAAGTCTTCAATAAGTCGTTGCAACATGACAATCCTCGGAGTAATCAGAAAGAGGGGGGGATTCACGAGAGAGCAGGTCTAACATGTTCGCCCACATCCTCGGCACGAAGTGATCTGGTGCCTCTCTTGCTCACGGTCCCTGGTCTCTCCGCGAGGGAGGGTGCAGATTCAGTCCGGTGGGTTGGAAAACGTGCAAGAACATACCTACCTTTAAAATATATGTTAACAAACCAATTGGGGAATAGCCAGGGATTCTCCAAGCAATAGGATCGATATGGATCAATATCGGGAGTGAACAAATATAAGTTCAATTTCTTTACATCAGATGTCCATGAGGTGAACATATAATTAGTTAGAAACACTGATGTCAGGTCCACTTTGACCAGTCATGTGAGAACCTGAGAACGAGAACCACAGGTCGCAAACATGTGGTTGTCCATGTTTGGCCATGCTGTTTGGCCATGCAGCCGGGCATCACGCTGGTGTGATGCGAATGGTACATGCGAAGCCACCCCGACATCTCGGAGATCGAGTCATCACCAAATTGGCATCGAGCTGCCTGGCTGTGTAGGAAAAACGAGCTCAAAACGAGCTAGGTACTCAGGATCTTGGCAAATGGGGTGTCTATCAAAATGTTGCACGCATGACTTCAATTCTGTCCAAATCACCAAGGTGATACATAGGTGCACCATGGTGTACTATACTTCCCTCTTCCCTCTTCCTCATGCTGCTTCCCCTTTGGATCTAGCTCTCGCGCTCGCACCTCTAGCAGCTCTAGCAGAGCGACTCGTTCGCTGTAGGATTCGCACGACCAGCCGCGCGCATCGACCGGCCGTAACATGGCCTGGCGGCATCGACCGGGTGATGGGACGACAGAGTCTGTCCGAGTCTGACTGAGTCTGACTGCCTATACTCCTGACGGAGTCTATCTGAGTTGACTGAGTCTGACTCTGACTGCTTATATCCCTGCTACACAAATGCCCACCAAAGGCTTTGGAAAGTGAAGCAATGGCAGTCAGAGGCTATATGGCCATATGGCTACGCATCCAACACAACTTTTGGGAGAAGCCTCCACCACCCAAAGGTGAGTCGCGGACTGGTGATCATGGTGACAAAACCTTTTCTCCTGCTCTGAACATCTCATTCAGCGTCTGAAAGGCACGTCGCTTCCGCCGCACCTGCATGCATCAAACATCATCAAACATATCGAACTCTGGAGAGCTATTCGAGCTTCGAAAGATTTAGAAGTAGTTCTCCACAAAGGGCAAAGGTGCAAGTACCTCGACATCCTCCGATGCTGTGACGGTTTTCATCTCCTTTGGTCCTTCTGGGATCCGCTTGCAAACGATGCTCTTGCCCTCTTTCTTGGCCTGCTGTTTCTTCTTGTCATTCTCCTTCACTCTGTGCAGGAAGGCTTCGTTGCAGCGAGACTTGCGGACATGCTCAATGCGCACATGGATGCGCTTCCGCAGCTGGCGGTTTCCCACAATCTTGGTCATTTCGACCCCTAGGGCGTTGCGGTTCACGTTGAAGACGATACCCGTCCTGCCATGGTAGAAGGAGTACGGCAAGCCTTTCTGAATCGACGGGTCGGCGACAATGTCTACATAGTCTCCACGCCGGAAGTTCACCAAGTATCTGGCCAATCCAGGTCTGCCCTTGGTTCGATACTTCTTGGAATACTTGTCGCGTGTGCCATGCCGGTAACCCTTGGAAATGACGCGGGTCTTTCCCATGGCAAAGAGCCCCGAGAGTGCCTATTGTTCAAACAATGAGACTCTCAGAGCAGGCTAGACCTGCAGCCAGACTGGCTACGGAGAACAAACACAGTCCCAGCACACAAGTACTGTATACACACTATGTGGCACTTGTACAGTACTAATCATATATAATGACAAGTTCACTATCACTTACCTGTATTATATACAGTCACCTGATGATCATCGAACGTCCAAGCCATATATATATATATCAATATAATAAATCAGAATGTCACCTTCGTCCGGCTCCTCGACCCGTCGCACGAAACGTCGCCGTGACGACGTGTCGTGCGAGCCGGCCTTCACGTCATCATGAACTCCTTCCGCCCAGCCGTTCGTCACCACCTTGGGCTCCTGCCGCAGGATCTCACCACCTTGGTGCGGTGACCGCGGTGCGGTGCGCGAAGTCGGTGTCGCCGCGGTGCGAAAGTCGGAGTTGAGTGCAGCGGCGGTAGCAGAGCTCATAGGACACGACGGCCTGAGCCATGCAGTGTGAAAACGAAGGACCCAAAAATTGTGATGACTTCTCTTGTGATCAGGGTGGACATCGCCAAGTGTTGTGTGGCTTGCATCCAACTCTGCACGTCCGAGTTGGAGGCCCTGTTTTTGAGCCCTTGACTGCAACCCGAACCAAGCGGCATGTTTTGGGTTACTGCTTCTTTCTCTGAAGACCTTCCTCCGGCAAAACATTCTAGGGCATTCCAAGATCATTGAGTCACTGTACCACTCTGTGAGCCCTTTAGATCACTTGTAGCCTCTGGCCTCTGACCCACGCTCCTATGTCCATCCCTCCTTAAATCATCTTAGAATCAACTACATAAATCAAAAACACTCAAAAATTCATTCTGAGATATTTAAGGATCTGACCACAATGTTCTCTGTACCAGGCATCCGCCATTCTTCCAGGTATTTTCGAGCCAACGCCCGAGCTTCCAGCACCCAGTCGGGAGCTGTGGCTCCGTCGCTGGGCCGGCTTCGAAAACCTGCAGGCTTCCAGAGGTCACCGTCATATATAAAACGATATAAAACCGTGCAAATCGAGTCGTGAGTCGGAGGGAGTTCGTGCTTCGAGGTGGCACAGTGGCACATCAAAATCGTTTCAAACATGGTCCGCTGAACAGATTGTTTTGCCCCTTGCCTAGATCGCCAATGGCATCCCGAGCGTACACATAGCCTCAGCCAACTGGCCAACAAAACTCCTTGTAGGGGGACGGTGAAAACAAACACATGTCGCCATTGAAGATGAATCGATAGGCCCTGAATCTAAAATTAAAATGACACCCCGGCACAGCGCGCACTACATCGCGCTAACACTTCTTGAGACATCTCAGCAATTCAGCTGGCCAATGTACAGCTGAAGGGCCAAAGTTCGTAAGTCCTGGCTGACAAAAGCCCGCAACAAAAACACTACAGCACCACCCCGTGCAAAGGGAGCCTTTTGAGTACCTTCAAGTAAAACAACCCCCATGGCTCCTTTGCCCACAAAAGGAGATTGGATTTTAGAGCTTCCCTCTGAGCAGCTTCGGAAGTTCTTCCAAAGTCACTATCAGCTACATCAGCTGTATCAGCTACATCAGCTATCGGACCAATCAAGTCCCCGCATTTTGGAGTGAAACTGTGGCTAGGCGGTTCGGACCATGTTCAGCCGTCAACTCAGACGTTTTCTAACCTGCCAGGGTTGAAACCTTGCTTTCCAAACCTGCCAGGGTCACAGAATGCAGTGGTGTGCGAGGGGATCGAGGGGCTGCTAGTGTAAGCTATGGTCATCAATCTGCTCAACCATGCTCAACTCGATTGAAAATCACGCCAGGGAAACCAACCCGCTGCACTTCGGTCTCCAACTCATCCACGGCATCAACGATGTGAAGCCCGGCGCTGGCGCCTGAAGCACGGGCTAAGGTTTCAATGGATTGCAGTGGTTGCTCCTTTCACTCAATTCAAATCGAACATGAGGGGGAAATAGCTCTCTTAGTCTTGAATGCTAAACCACAAGAATAGTGTCCAGCCTCGGACACATGAAAAGTCAAGACGGCCGCCGTTTTCGCGTCGCAGCATCGACTCGTTGGCACCCAGAGTCGACTCTTGGGACCGCACATTTCTGAAGTGCTTTCAGCAAGGGCTGAAAGAGACGTCGGCGAAATTCCGTCTCCAATGGTCTGCGACCTGTACCACATGGACATACACCGACCCAAAACAATGTCACAGGAGGAAGGGTCAGTAACGATCTCCGGGGGGTGGAATGGATGTTGCAGAACTGGGAGTCCTTGTAGCTTCTTGCTACGTTCGTAGCGATGCCCTTGTGACATCTTGTGACGTTCGTAGCTTCTTGCTTCCACCTTTCGCCTGCGCCCTCGAGAATACCGGTGCGTCCGCTTTGCCGAAGATGGTGTAGAGTGAAGTGTGCGACACTGCCACTCGCGGCTCTGCCGTTTTGGCACCTTCACACTGGTATTCGTGACGCTTGGCGATGTTGACCAGGTCAGTGGTGGCCTAGAGTTGCAATGACGTGCCAAAAGACGTGGAACCTGGATCTGACTCCAGCAAAAACATGCTGGAGCCCGTGATCAAAGCCACGGAGAAAAAGAAAACAAAGTATACAGAACTAAGAAGCTGATTTGTTCAGTAACTGTCTCACAGTGTGTCCCAATGTTCCATGCAGCGTGCCTGTGCCCGTGGTTCTTAAAAACACACACCATTATAGAGGCTTGAGACATCTCGAGGCCCCCCCATCAGGGGGGGCCTGTCAGGCCCCCCTACCGCGACATCCGAGAAGCCCTCGATGGCGATGAAACGCGGGATGGCCAACTAGGAGCGGAGCAGAGCGAAGGTTCGTGGCGGTTCACTCAGACCGTCTGGGACTGCCAGAAGAAGGACTGCCGAGAAACGGCCAGGGGTGGTGCCATGGGGGGGGTCAATGGGGCGGCATGTAGGTCCCATGGGTCGTGTCTGGGTAATTACATGGCACAGTGTCCAATACATGTTCAATGGGGATCTACTTTTCTATCTCTGTCGGGGTCTATAGGCTGAATATCAACTCACACCTGGGACCCACTCACTCACAAACTCCAGCAGTCAACTTCCGAATGGTTCCCAGGCTTGGATGCCTTGTTGCTTCCGGAGTCTTTTCCGAAAAACGCGCGAAACACGCTCCAATGCTCACACTATGCTCCACTTGATGCTTCCCGGCGCCCGGGACGCGGGGGTCCCGTGGGACATCGACGGCCGTCTCTCCGCCGGTGTCTCCATCGGTGCCACACGCCGCGCCGCCCGGGGCCTGCAAGAAGACCCGCAACCGCTCGGTCTCTCCGGTGACGTCCCACGACCAAGCGAGATTCGCCAGCTCCTGGGGGTTCAAAGGTGACGTGACGTGCAAGCGAGCGAGATGCGGCAACGACCCAAAAACGAGAAAAACCATCGAAAAAAGCATGAAAGAGCCATGGAGTTGTGGATCAGGAGGTGGGAAACCCCCACCAGGCTCCAAGCTGCAAGTTGGACAATTCTTGGCTTTGAGGCAAGTGGCATGCATCCCCACACTTGTTAGGATGGCTGACTATGACTCCCACACCTCCCCGCACCATCTCCGCGAGGTCGTTGGCGCTTTTTGGCCACAGTGGCTAGCCTTTGCAAGCGTTCCAACTCTTGTCTCTGCACAGTCTGCGAAACAGAACTGCACCTCAACTGCTGAAAAGCGCCATACAATCTGTCTCCAAAAAAATCTACAGGATTGCCAGCGCGCTCAGTTGAAGAAGTAGCTGGAGAACAGCACCGAGAGAACGCAAATGCACAGCAAACCCCAGTACAAGGAGGTTCGGTTCAACTCCACAGGCAGCATGGCATCATTGGGGCGAGGCTCAGGCAATGCCTTCAGCACCAAAGGGGATTCCACAGCCGAGATCTCCACGGTGTTGCCAGTGAAGGCTCCTTGCCCACGAAGGGCAGGGCTCTGGATGACGAAGACCTCCTGAGGGGTGGTGCTGGACGAGAAGAGCCAAAGGCAGGCAGCCGCGGCAAGGACGAACAGCATAGGACGCTGGGCCATCGTGATGTTGATGTCTGCTAGCTCAAATCTCTCCCAGTGCACTTTCTAGCTCTTGAGCCAATGAACGGAGTTGAGATGCTCTCATGATCTCCAACTTTCCGACATCCTCTTCCACTACCCTCCTAATTACTAAAAGTCTCCAAAAGTGGTCTTAAGATGCCTTAAGCCTATTAGTTCATTCACTCCGAACTGTCCTCAGATCAGCTGCCATCTGCCAGGCCATGGTCCTTCTCCAAGCAGCTTCCTTCCCCCGATTCCCCCGATTCGCTGGATGACCCGGATGATGCCGGACGTCCGTCTCCTGAGGAGACAGTGACTCGATCTTCACCCGGGCAGCCGAGAGGATGGCCTCCGAGAGCTTGGGACCTCACGTGAGGACGGGGTGGAGGAGGTGGAGGACTCGAGGATCCCACAGGAAATCACCTCCAGGTGGAGGGAGGTGATCGGAGGTGAGAGTTCTGACCTCTGCAGTGCCATGCTGGCGATGATGGCCATCCAGCATGGAACGCCCGACGTGCGGGGGGTTCACCCCCACCAACCCAACAGAATGGCAGCAAACACGTCAAATCATGTAAACACTCCTTCGATGTTGTATTTTACAGGATCAGCTCTAATAGTACTAACTACCTAGCTAACCCTGCTAGTCCGGTAAGCGCTACCTTTTGCTCTACCTTGAGAGTCAACGCTACGGGGTCCATGGGGATGAGGTGAATTTCAACACCCCCCTTTACAAGGAGCTACCCGTAGGGAAAATCTCGGGGAGGATCAAATTCTAGCGACGAAGGAATCATATTAGAAATCCCTCATCAAGCTCGTGCATGCACTATACAAGGAGAACGTAGCTACCCTAATGTACAGTTTTCGCCTCACTCGGCATGTGGTTAAACATGCTCGGCCCAGGTTAGTGTTAAGCATTGATTAAAAGTTCACTCTCCGACTATGGCAATCCTGTTATGGATGCATTGGGAAGTGAGACAATGAAGTGAAACATCATCTCACAGCGCGTCAGAAGGTGATCTTTATCTCAACACTCATAAGCTGCAAGGCATACCATTTATGGTAGCTATTCAACATCTGCTTAAAGAAATTGTATTCCAAAACGCTCCGTCTCGTCATGCCATCCCTGCCTCAACCACTCCCACAATTCCATGTGATTGGGCCAATAGTTCTCGCCCCATGGGTCATCGCGTTGCCATTGTACTCCAGGAAAATCAAAGGGTTCCAATGGTCGATCAATAGTTCCACGAATGCTGGAAGTCGGCGGCCCAGTTAAGGGTGCATTATGTGACGATGATGCCGAAGCGGATGAAGTTCCGGGTGGCAATGGCGGCGGTGGCACGTTTTGTACATTCCATTGCTGTGGAGCATAAGGTCCTCCTCGAACACTCACCTGCTGCTTATCCTTGCCCTTTCCTTTTACGGAAGGTTGCAACCGACTGTAAAGGTCCGTAAGCGGCGGCGGCTTCGGCGTGAGATTGAAATCTGTCGGCCTTGTATGTACCGGAATGCCACTGGCTGTATTGGGTGGCACTTTCGGTGGAGGAACCTTTGGAGGAGGCACCTTTGTTGGTGGGACCTTCGGAGGTGAAGGTTTTGCTGGACGTGGTTTTGAAGCCGGGGATAAGCCGGCCGTTGGTGCATCATTTGGTGCAGGTGGTGGAGGTGGTGATGCTGGGGCCTCTTTCACCGGTACTGACGGTGGATTGGAAGGAGGCTTTGGGATTGACGGTTTTGCAGGAGTGGATGGTGGAGTGCGAAGTGGAGGACCCACAAGGTCCTTGGGAATGTTGCCACGCTTAGGTGGAAGGTCTTCACGGCTGCGAGATATTGCACGGGCAACTGAACCACGTGGCGTCCCTTTTGCGGGAGCAGTGGAACCTGACGCAGAAGAACTGCCTTGCCCTTTGCCCTTACCGGCAACATCTCCTCGCACACTGGCATCCCGTTTATGGGAGTCTCCTTTGCCTGATACTTGTCCTTGAGCAGGAGGTGCATTCATACTGAATACCGACGAGGTATGCGTCCCTGTTACGGGAGCTGGCGGCTGAGGCACGCCTGGCGGTGGAGTCCGGTTGTCAACCCAAGTTGCAATACGACCAGATTGATCTCGGTCTTCTTTCCTCCTCCACTGCAGCCTCGGTCGTTTGTCTGCATCTCCAATAGTCTCCATATACATCTGCGATCGCTTCCGCGTCAACGGGGGCCTTGTTACAGGTCCTTGAGGAGATGGGGATCCACGCTGTCCAAACTCCAACAAAAGTTCTTCCAACCTTCTGACTTCGTCAGATGACATGTCCTGGCCACAATCGGCAAACTTGGGATAAGGCGTGGCCATGCGCTGTTCGATGTTCATGAAGCCCATCTGTGAAACTGGCTGTCCACGATCGCGTCCCTGCATATTTGCAGACTGTTGCGCGTTTCTCTGATATTGAATGTTTGCATAACTTTCATTCTGCTCTGCAAACTCACTCAAAATCTTGTAAATGCCTGTCGTGTCTCCACGAGGAATACGAATTGAATGAATATCGCCATAGACGTCCGTCGTGGGGATAAAGCCCTGGATCTTGATCTCATCTCGGCTATCGCCAATTACGGCGGCGTATTGTCGGAGTGACATAAACTCTCGGCGATAACTGATCAGAAAGTTCTCGTCGACGCCTTGCTTGAAACAGGTATGTAGGTTGTCAACACCGCATCGAATATACGCGAGCTTGGCGAGGTCAACCCTGTCCAGTCGATCCAAATCACTGACAACCGACTTCCCTTTTGATCTCTGCTTCGCTGATCTCGTGGGTGCCGGTAATTGCAGTGACGCAAACAAGTCTTCTTGCGCTGCATCAAACGCTGTGCATCCTTCTCCGGTTAAGGAGGTGGCGAAGACGTCGTCGCGGTTGAATCGATCGAATACATTCTCATACCCTGATTTCAATGCTTTGCGAAGGCGACTGCGAGCTGCAAGAATAATCTGACTGTCAACTGACGGGCTGCCACGAGCTGGAGGTCGTCCAGACTGTAGATCCTGCGCGGCAATGCTGTCAAGCATGCTTGTTGCGGTCATGTTCTTGGGCACGCCCCCCTGCTCTTGTAGCACCTTTGCACGCCTCATCTGAAGTCGCATAAACTTTGAAATCGGTCCATCTGTTGTATTGCTCTGAAATACTACTCCGCATCGATGACAAGATGCCATTCCTGCTAAGGAAAGTGTCGTACATTTATCGCAGCTGAAAGTTCGAAGATGTAGAAAATATCCACTCTCGATCTGTGGTACAGCTGTATTGCGATTTGCCTCCATCTCTTCCTTCTTTGCGGCACTGCTGCTAGCTGTGCGTTCTTCGGGAGTGGCGTCGCTTGTACCTTCCAAAATGGTGCGTACTTCCGACACTTTTCCCGGGACCAATGTCACATCATCTTGCGGAACACCGACCTCAATGTTCGAAGGATCCAATGCCTGCGGCCTCGAATAGAAAACTTCCGGCTCCGCATTTGCGCGGGCTCGAGTTGCAAATAGAATACACGTATTCGGAACGTGATGGCTGGTAATCACCGCGCCAGAATTTGTGAGGAAAAGATCAACTCCTGCTTCAATCACATCCGGTGTTGAAAAACAAATCTCCACTGGTCGGTCAGCACGAACACCAGATATCGCCTTCTGGTTTCCCAGAGGTTGTGTTGAAAAGAAGGAATTGCCTTTGCTTTTCGGTCCACCGGCTCCACCGCCGGGAATGAGCCCGCTCGCAATAATGGATCGCGCAGCACCTTCATGCGTTCGGTGGTAAAGCCGAGGTGGTATATCGCGGTTCCCGTGCGCTGTCAAACGAGCATTGTACCTGTGTACATGGTCAGGACGGCAGTAGATTAGTACTGCTAGCACTTCATTTGATCGCGTCTCGAGAACGTCGTCGGTGTGGCCTTGTCCACATCGGATCTTGACGGGGGCGGCGAAAAGTTCGAGCTGCTCGTTCACACGAGAGTCGTACACGCATTGAAATTCGAAACGATCTTTGTTGTCATAAATAGCCATCGAAATCAACTCAAAAACATTCATAGAATCAGCATAATCAGGGAATTTGGCCTTCGCCAAATCTAGTAGTTTGTAAATTGGCAAATAACACGCCGGATCATAAATACTGACGTCTGGGACGTGTCCACGAAGAAGACCAGAAATACCGCGACGAACATGATATGGCCAGGAGCAGCACCACTCCCAAGGCCCATGATGATAATCCTCATATACATAATAATACCTATGGCCAGTAACGTGGTACAGCACGTACTGCTTGGCGTCGCGGCCCAGCTCATCCTCGAGGAGTTGGATGTTGCCATTCCCGATGGCCTTGAGTAGGTGATCCGGGTAAGGATACCTTCCGAGAACCTCTTCAACCTCGACCTGCATATTTTTGTACTCGGGGTTAGGCTTCGTCTCGCGAACGCCCTTCCCTTTTCCAGAAAATTTCAAGTCGGGGTTGTCGTTGTTCTCAGGTGCAAGAAAGCTCCCCGTTACGGGAGCGACCGAAGGGGTGCCTTGTCCCTGCCCTTTGCCTCGCAATCGCGGCAATGGTGGTCTCGAGTCAGATGAAGACGCTTGACCCTCTGCGGGTTGGTCCGCGTCCGTAGGGATCATAGGAACATCTCCGGTTGCACCTTCTTCAACAGTCGTTTCATCATCAGCCAAAACATCAAGAACCTCGGCCTCGATCTTCGCCATCTGTGGATCAGGTTCTGGTGCTGTCGGCAAGGCATTTACGCCTGCGATACCAGTATCAGGCCCAGGTACTTCGTCGGTTGCGCCTGTATAGCTATCGGGCATCTCAACGTCCGCGTCGGTTTCCTCAACCTTCGGCTCGACTTTTACGTCGGCTGTCGCAACGTCATCCATCGGCTCGTCCAATGCGGGCTGTTCCTCCGGTAGCTCAATAACAGGTACAACATTGACAAACTGCAACACATCTTGAGGATCTTCGCCTTCCAGGTTAACGGAGGCCTTGAGCTCTTCGACTGACACGTCATTCGTCTCAAAGGGGCTGTACGCTTGTACTTCCTCGACAGTAAACTGCCTGCTCTTCCCCAACGTCTGTTGCATTCGCGCGTTTCGCTGTTCAACAAATTCATTGATAAGTTGTAAATACGATTCCGGTATTTTGACTGTCGCTGAGGAATCCCAACTGTATTTAAATCTTCTCACCCTGTTGAGCGCGGCAATTCCCTCTCGGGAAGCTTCAACGACGTTCACATGGTACGACAATTTGACAATCGAGGTCACATAGTTCACGAAGCGATCGATGTTCTCCTGCGTCTTTCGCATATGCCATTGATCAACTTTATCGGATTGGTAAACCAGATTGTCAGGCTGGAATCGGTGTATGCCG